CTTGAAAACCGCTATAAATAGAGAAAATTTGACAAGGACACTCAGACATTTTCTGAATGTTGAGATCTACATACTGTTGAATACTTCAATTGGCGTAAATGGCGAACCACCGGAATATCTACGGGAATTAGTTCCTCCATGTATACAAAACTCGTCAATTTATCAATTTAATTCCTTTTTGAAGACCATCTTTTTTCATTTCAACAATCAGAGAATGGAATAAATTGAACCATTCGATTCCTTCTATAGAATCGCTATCTAAATTAAAGAATGATCTACGTGCAAAAGCCATTCTGATAAAATATTTTCTTATGGCTTAGGAATTAAAATATCAGTCTATGGAATGTGCGAATCGAGAAAACCATTTCTTAGGTGAAGTCACAATGTTTTCTAATATGAAATGGTAAATATGCAGACATTCCATGAAGAAAAAGAAGTTTTCTGCAATAAAAAAAAATAATATTAAAATATATGAATACGTTCAGTCCGAAATCAATTCACGCGACAAACAGAAGAGTTTAATGTATTACCATTAATCAGTAGAGTGTGAAATCGATTATTATCAGCCTTTCAATGTCGTTTTAAAGAAAAAAAAAGTCAGATAGACCAGTAAAACGAGCAACAAAGTAAGATTTCTTCATGGACATGTCAACTGTCAACCTATCACTAAAATATAAACGAAAATTAAGTCTTTAAAAATGCCCAATATCAAAGTAATAGCAAAAGTAAATGTCCTTGCAAAAATTGTACTGCTACGTTTTTCTTTTGTAGATAAATAACTAAATGCTATTTATTTTATTGTAGATGCGATATTTTTTAATGTAGTTGCGGTATGTTTTCATTGTTACTATACGTTTGGTGTTATTTGAGGTAGCAGTTTTAGCCCACTGCTTACAGTCAAAACGAACTTTTGAGACATCTTTCGAAATTTTTAATTGTTCTCCAAACATAATTTTATTAGGATAAAAAAAATCCGTTGATTTAAAGCGTTTGATTTTGTCAGTTTTTATGGATTTCCCTTTTTGAATTTGCCTTGGAGTTCGGTATTTTTGTTATACTTTTTTATATGTGAAGAAGAAAATCAAATCATGTAGCATAGACCGACCCGTTCAAATTGGTGACATCGACATTACATCTATTAAATTTCTATATGAACACGTCCTAAAATGCATTTTCGATTACCTCACTACACGTTAACTGTATAAATGGTGATTAAATCCTAAACACAATTCTTAATACATTTTTGTACATTGTTTGCGCACTTTTTTTTCAACATGGTAAATTTCTTACCATGTTTAGATTGAAGAAAGTGTTTAGGATTGTGTTTAGGATCATGATTAACCGTTCATGATTAGCTTAGAAATTAGTTTTTAAGTCCTTAAAACTTTGAATTCTAAAACACATTTAAAAGTAATTATATTCAAGACATGTGTACATTAAATATGTTTACTTGTAAATGTTTGTTTAGATAATATCATAATTCTAAACACGAGTTTTCAGGCATGTCAAATAGATGATCGCTGGAAAAGAAAACTTACTTGAAGTAAGGAGAAGAAATAACGATTTCGAGTTAACAACTACACAATTATCTTCTGACTTTCCAAATTTTAGCCTATCGAATGCAGTTCTTTGCCTTTTAATCTTCATGCATAATTAGGTAAAATTGCAAAAACATTACACCAAATATAGGTTTTCCAGATATAAGAGGGCGAAAAAATGTTAGTGTAGATATTTTTTGTCTCGCCTCTACGAAGTAATGGAGGCGTGAGGTTTCTGGTGGTGTCGGCGGCGTCAACATTTTATGTTTTGAATTTGTGATAAGTTCAGTTAATAGCATTATCATATCTCATTTCCAGGGAGATTATTTGGCCCTTTGACTTCAGTCATGTTTCACTGACTTTGAATGTTTTGCATAATAAATGCATGATAACGTATTTTCATTTTAATTTCAAAAATTGCATTTATCTATCAAAATTACATATAGACATGACAGATGATACATTGTACATTTATCTGTGTCAACTCTTTATTATTATAGACTGACACTAGCAAGATATTTTTTTCAGCGGAAGTTGGAAGGTGGTAAATACCGTGCAATAATGGATTGAAAACCCAAAATTGTTCGACGCGCAGGGGATATTTAACATCGTGTCTACTTTTTTATAAGCGTATAATTGGTTTATTACATACGTAAATCATCTTTACGAAATTACAGTGTTATTTTGGCTGTATCATTGAACCTGTCATGAATAATTGTCGATGTTTCTACTTTGTTTGAATGTATTGTGCCATATTATCGTATTTTTTTCATATGAAAAAAGTATCGTATTTCTATTAGAAAAATATCGCATTGGAAAAGTTTTTCATAATAAAAGCATTTCGCTATTCTATTAGAAAAATGTCGCACTCATATAAGAAAAAATAGCATTATTATCCTATGTAATAGTTATCCCATGAGGACGCGGTGTGTCAGTGTAAGATCACCCCGACGGCCGGAGGCCGGAGGGTGATCTTACACTGACACACCAAGTACGAGTGGGATAACTATTTTACATCCCAGCTCTTCTACACTATATGAAAAAACATTTAAGCTTCATAACATCTAGTTCAGAATGCCATACAATAAATATAATATACTTTATATATTACTATATAGTATATACCCTTTATGAGCCCCGGATACAACGTTTATATATGTTAAATTAACATTAAGTTTGAATCCAGTCGTCCTGGTGTAGGGGTATGAGTCGTGGCTTCATCTGCTAAAGGTCTTGTGTTCGATTCCCGCTTAGACACTGGAAATTTAGTGATTTTTTTCTTCATAATTTTGAATGTTAGTCTTTATTCCGCTTAAATATAGTTTTATTGTGTGTTCGACATTCCCGCCAAAACGTTACAGATCAAAAGAAAGCATGCAGAACAAAGAAACTCATGGTAGGGTGATCCGACTCAGATTAAAACTGTTAGAACAAAGGAGTTAGGATGTAATGCAAGTGATTATGGGGAAGAATGCAATCGAATAAATAAAACCTCAAAATTAAAGATCGTGCAAATAGGTTTTAATTAATGCAAATGCATTTTTACTAGTATAAATACAACATACTTTGGGTAAAATGTTCAAAATACATGGTAAGTTGTATAACAAGTTCTTTCCGGCGAATTTTCTTTTATTCATACAAATGTCAACATTCGTCTGAAATTTTACCACAATGCATCTCATTTACAAAAGAAAATATCGCTACTCCACATAAGAAACGGATTTCTCGATTCGCACTTTCCATAGACTGAATATCATCTTGACGCAATTAAGATGCGGTGCTTCATTTCTTAATAACGATTTGTTCAAGAAAATGTATAGTATCTCCGGTGTGTGTTTGGGGAGCTGGACAAGAAGATGCTCGCCATTTCTTTTTTTGTTGTTATTGTACCAAATGCAACAACATACGAACAGATTTGAAAGCTTGTTTGGAAATTTAGTCACATGATGTCAATATTTCACCAATCACCTCAGGATGTGGTTACATGAGTTATGTAGAAAAGTGTCTCATTTGTTTTTTCTAGTCACAGTTAAATTAAAGGTTTAAGCAATTTCTAATAATGACAGGGTCACATGCCGATCGACAGTTTTCGTAGGTTATGTAAATAATTAATTAGATGGCGTCCAGTCAAGAATACACACGAAATGTAGTTATTATATGTTTATACACAGATTTCGACATTCTGTACTGGTTTCTTCAGAACTTTTGTAATTCTTAATCGTGCTTGAGTATATATTAAATCAAATTGTCGCAGTAAGACCGGCAGATGATGCCTCTTTAACTTGACACAAGTTAGAAGTGAATCATTTGTTACCGTTTAATAATAATTTAACCTTAAAATCAAGTACAGTTGTATATGCAACGACTTCAAGTAAAATAATTAAGTGATATAAATACAAAATTATTCAAAAATTGTCAGTGAAATGTACTTCAAAAATGTAATTTAAATCATATCTTTTGCAGTACATCCAATGAATGATAGTATTGACATATCATCTCATAATGTATCTGCCAACCGTATTTCCATTGATGTAATTTTTTGGAAGATATTTCCACTGCCTCATTGTATCATGAAACTTGAGGTGAGTATGCCTTAGATTTTGTTTTGAAAGTTGATTATTATTTTTGTGATAACTGCTATTTAATTGTGTAAAATTGGGGACGGTCGGAAGGTTTAATAATAGGATCCTGCAACAGAAGAATAACACCATTTTATACCTTGTTATTTCACTTGAATGCTTTCAACAAGTAATAGCTTTTCTAAAAAGCTAGCCGTCTCATAGCGTATAAAATTTGAAAAATGTTTTTCCATGCAGAATAGCATTGTATAGTGAACGAACAATTTGTTAATTTTCTGAATACATATGATATAGTATTTTTAAGTGAATGTTGGGTCAAAAAACAATTCAATTTTACTATGAACCACTTCTGTTGTCCAGTCACCAGGCTGAAGCTAGCGAACAATAACTAGCGAAAAATAAGCCAGCGAACAATAAGGCGATATATCTACCAACCGAAAAAATGAATAAGACAGCAACGGCCGTTAAATGAAAAATATTTAAAAAAGCAGACATTCCGTCCAAATATTGCAATTTCAACTCTATCTTGAAATGGTATTTATCCCATCCATTGATAAAACAAGTCACATCTCTTTTTAGGCTAATATTCAGTACCACAGTAAATCTGCATCTGTCAAGGGATTATTTGTAGGTGTAAGACCACTAATGCACCCACTTCAATTTAGAACGTATGTAAAAGTAGTCCTTCCCTGTAAAATACAGCACCTTTGATGTCATTGTTAAATTGAACTAAGATACACATTTGCAGAAATGGGGGTTGGCCTATTCCATGGCTTCTAGAGAAAAATAATGAGGGGTGTCACGGAGTATGACTATAAAGGTCTTGTAGAGGAGAAACAGGCGCATCTTTTGCGCAAGGTATCGACGGGCGCTATGTTCAAAAATCTGAAACTAGAGCTCATAATATAAAAAAAATATTGTTAAAAACAGGGGGGTTGGTCTATTCCATGGCTTCTAGAGAAAAATAATGAGGGGTGTCACGGGGTATGACTATATAGATCTTGTAGAGGAGAAACAGACGCATCTTTTGCGCAAGGCATCGAAGGGCGCTATGTTAAAAAATCTGAAACTAGAGCTCAAAATTAAAAAAAAAAAATGTTAAAAACAGGGGGTTGGTCTATTCCATGGCTTCTAGAGAAAAATAATGAGGGGTGTCACGGGGTATGACTATATAGGTCTTGAAGAGGAGAAACAGGCGCATCTTTTGCGCAAGGTATCGAATGGCGCTATGTTCAAAAATCTGAAACTAGAGCTCAAAATTAAAAAAAAAAATGTTAAAAACAGGGGGGTTGGTCTATTCCATGGCTTCTAGAGAAAAATAATGAGGGGTGTCACGGGGTATGACTATATAATTCTTGTAGAAGAGAAACAGGCGCATCTTTTGCGCAAGGTATCGAATGGCGCTATGTTCAAAAATCTGAAACTAGAGCTCAAAATTAAAAAAAAAAATTGTTAAAAACAGGGGGATTACCTTATTCCATGGCTTCTACAGAAAAATAAGGAGGGGTGTCACGGGGTATGACTATATAGGTCTTGTAGAGGAGAAACAGGCGCATCTTTTGCGCAAGGTATCGAAGGGCGCTATGTTAAAAAATCTGAAACTAGAGCTCAAAATTTTGAAAAAAAAAATGTTAAAAACAGGGGGGTTGGCCTATTCCATGGCTTCTAGAGAAAAACAATGAGGGGTGTCACGGGGTATGACTATATAGGTCTTGTAGAGGAGAAACAGGCGCATCTTTTGCGCAAGGTATCGAAGGTCGCTATGTTCAAAAATCTGAAACTGGAGCTAAAAATTTTGAAAAACAAATGTTAAAAACAGGGGGGTTGGCCTATTCCATGGCTTCTAGAGAAAAATAATGAGGGGTGTCACGGGGTATGCCTATATAGGTCTTGTAGAAGAGAAACAGGCGCATCTTTTGCGCAAGGTATCGAAGGGCGCTATGTTAAAAAATCTGAAACTGGAGCTAAAAATTTTGAAAAACAAATGTTAAAAACAGGGGGGTTGGCCTATTCCATGGCTTCTAGAGAAAAATAATGAGGGGTGTCAAGGGGTATGACTATATAGGTCTTGTAGAGGAGAAACAGGCGCATCTTTTGCGCAAGGTATCGAAGGTCGCTATGTTCAAAAATCTGAAACTGGAGCTAAAAATTTTGAAAAACAAATGTTAAAAACAGGGGGATTTCCTTATTCCATGGCTTCTACAGAAAAATAATGAGGGGTGTCATGGGGTATGACTATATAGTTCTTTTAGAGGAGAAACAGGCGCATCTTTTAAGCAAGGTATCGAAGGTCGCTATGTTCAAAAATCTGAAACTGGAGCTAAAAATTTTGAAAAACAAATGTTAAAAAACAGGGGGGTTGGCCTATTCCATGGCTTCTAAAGGAAAATAATGAGGGGTGTCAAGGGGTATGACTATATAGGTCTTGTAGAGGAGAAACAGGCGCATCTTTTGCGCAAGGTATCGATGGGCGCTATGTTCAAAAATCTGAAACTAGAGCTCAAAATTAAAAAAAAAATTGTTAAAAAAAACAGGGGGGTTGGTCTATTCCATGGCTTCTAGAGAAAAATAATGAGGGGTGTCACGGGGTATGACTATATAGGTCTTGTAGAGGAGAAACAGGCGCATCTTTTGCGCAAGGTATCGAAGGGCGCTATGTTCAAAAATCTGAAACTAGAGCTCAAAATTAAAAATAAAAATGTTAAAAACAAGGGGGTTGGTCTATTCCATGGCTTCTAGAAAAAAATAATGGGGGGTGTCACGGGGTATGACTATATAGGTCTTGTAGAGGAGAAACAGGCGCATCTTTTGCGCAACGTATCGAAGGGCGCTATGTTCAAAAATCTAAAACTATAGCTCAAAATAAAAAAAAAAAATGTGAAGAACAGGGGGGTTGGTCTATTCCATGGCTTCTAGAGAAAAATAATGGGGGGTGTCACGGGGTATGACTATATAGGTCTTGAAGAGGAGAAACAGGCGCATCTTTTGCGCAAGATAACGAAGGGCGCTATGTTCAAAAATCTGAAACTAGAGCTCAAAATGTAAAAAAAAATTGTTAAAAACAGGGGGGTTGGTCTATTCCATGGCTTCTAGAGAAAAATAATGAGGGGTGTCACGTGGTATGCATTATAGGTCTATGGAGGAGAAACAGGCGCATCTTTTGCGCAAGGTATCGAAGGGCGCTATGTTCAAAAATCTGAAACTAGAGCTCAAAATTTAAAAAACAAATGTTAATAAAATGCTTCGCTGGGGCGCAGCTTGATACGACCGCAGAGGTCGAACCCTGAACAGTTGGGGCAAGTATGGACACAACATTCAAGCTTGATACAGCTCTGAATTTGGATTGTTATTAAATATTTGACACAGCATAGGTTTCTGACACAGAAAGAATGTGGTCTAAGAACTTGAATTTTTTTAATTTACCTATTATGGTCCAATGTCCAAAATCAAAATACATGGTTAGATTCAGCATATCAAAGAACCCCATATATTCAATTTTTGTTAAAATCAAACAAAGTTTAATTTTGGACCCCAACTTGGACAAACTTGAAAACTGGGCCCATAATCAAAAATCTAAACACATGTTTAGATTCAGCATATCAAAGAACCCCAAGAATTCAATTTTTGCTAAAATCAAACTAAGTTTAATTTTGGACCCTTTGGACCTTAATGTAGACCAATTTAAAAAACGGGACTTAAAATCAAAAATCTAAATACACGGTTAGATTTGGAATATCAAAGAACCCCAATAATTCAATTTTGATGAAATCAAACAAAGTTTAATTTTGGACCCTTTTGACCTCAATATGAACCAATTTGATAGCGGGGCCCACAAATAAAAAATCTAAATTCATGGTTAGATTCAGCATATCAAAGAACCCCATATATTCAATTTTTGTTGAAATCAAAAAAAGTTTGATTTTGGACCCCAACTTGGACCAACTTGAAAACTGGGCCCATAATCATAAATCTAAACACATGTTTAGATTCAGCATATCAAAGAACCCCAAGAATTCAATTTTTGTTAAAATCAAACTAAGTTTAATTTTGGACCCTTTGGACCTCAATGAAGACCAATTTAAAAAACGGGACCCAAATTAAACATCTAAAAACACGGTTAGATTTGGCATATCAAAGAACCCCAATAATTCAATTTTGGATGAAATCAAACAAAGTTTAATTTTGGACCCTTTTGACTTCAATATGAACCAATTTGATAGCGGGGCCTACAAATAAAAAATCTAAATACATGGTTAGATTCAGCATATCAAAGAACCTCATGTATTCAATTTTTGTTGAAATCAAACAAAGTTTAATTTTGGACCCCAATTTGGACCAACTTGAAAACTGGGCCCATAATCAAAAATCTAAATAAATGTTTACATTCAGCATATCAAAGAACCCCATATATTCAATTTTTGTTGAAATCAAACAAAGTTTAAATACTGGACCCTATCTTGGACCAACTTGAAAACTGGGCCCATAATCAAAAATCTAAACACATGTTTAGATTCAGCATATCAAAGAACCCCAAGAATTCAATTTTTGTTAAAATCAAACTAAGTTTAATTTTGGACCCTTTGGACCTTAATGTAGAACAATTTAAAAAACAGGACCCAAAATTAAAAATCTAAATACACGGTTAGATTATGAATATCAAAGAGCCCCAATAATTCAATTTTAGATGAAATCAAACAAAGTTTAATTTTGGACCCTTTTGACCTCAATATGAACCAATTTGATAACGGGGTCCACAAATAAAAAATCCAAATACATGGTTAGATTCAGCATATCAAAGAACCCCATATATTCAATTTTTGTTGAAATCAAACAAAGTTTAATTTTGGACCCCAATTTGGACCAACTTGAAAACTGGGCCAAAAATCAAAAATCTAAATACATGTTTAGATTCAGCATATCAAAGAACCTCATATATTCAATTTTTGCTAAAATCAAACAAAGTTTGATTTTGGACCCTTTGGACCTTAATGTAGACAATTTTGAAAACTGGACCCAAAATTAAAAATCTAAATACACTGTTAGATTCAGCATAACAAATAAATAAATGTGATCAAAGATTTTACAAATCTAATGCGCCATACTGTGCAATTAAAGATTACTTCTTGAAATTTTTCAATATTTGAAATTTGAAAAAAAAATAATATTTGAAGAATAATTCTTTTTAATTTCTGAAATCTGAAATGAGAAAAAATTGACCCCCCACAATTTTTTTTTATCCCCCCCCCCTTTTTCCCCCCCAAAAGTTCTTTCCTTCAAGATATGGTCATAATCTCAATTCAAATTTCCAATGGAGTTGGCAACCATAATTACCCATTTAAATTTACCATAGTGCTAACTTAATCTACTTTATAATAGAATTAAAAATATAGTGTCAAATTTTCATATGGATTTTTTTGTAAAAAAAAATGATGCAACATTTGCAGATATTTTTACTGGTCTTCCTTTATAAATATGCATTTCTTTAAACATAATTTAAAAGCAGTGTAAGGGAAGTAGCCAAAACGTTGTATTTGGATTACCTCCCTTACACTGTTTTAAATTATCTTTATTGTTCATTAACCATTACTTTATACATAATTTAAAAGCAGTGTAAGGGAGATAATTTCAATGATGTATTTGATTTATCTCCCTTACACTGCTTTAAATTATGTTTTGTACTAAAGTATTTGTCCATTAACCAGGACAACCTTGTTTTTCCCCCTTTTTTGCCCCTAATTCCTAAACGGTTTGAGCCATAACCCCCCAAAGCAAATCCTAACCATCCCTTTGTGGTATGGAAACTTGTAGTATAATTTCAGAGAGATCCATACACCGTTCCACAGTTATTGTCTGGAAACTAGAAAATGCTTATTTTTGGCCCCTTTTTGGCCCCTAATTCCTTAACTGTTGGTACCATAACCCCCAAAATCAATCCCAACCTTCCTTTTGTGGTATTTAACCTTATGGTAAAATTTCAAAAAGATCCATTCACTTAAACTAAAGTTAGAGTGCGAAAACCAATGTGTATTCGGACGACGACGCCGGACGACGACGACGACGACGCCAACGTCATACCAATATACGACCACAAAATTTTTTTGCGGTCGTATAAAAACAGGGCGGTTGGCCTATTCCATGGCTTCTAGAGAAAAATAATGATGGGTGTCAAGGGGTATGACTATATAGGTCTTATAGAGGAGAAACAGGCGCATCTTTTGCGCAAGGTATCGAAGGGCGCTATGTTCAAAAATCTGAAACTAGAGCTCAAAATTAAAAAAAAAAATTGTTAAAAATAGGGGGATTGGCCTATTCCATGGCTTCTACAGAAAAATAATGGGGGGTGTCACGGGGTATGACTATATAGGTCTTGTAGAGGAGAAACAGGCGCATCTTTTAAGCAAGGTATCGAAGGGCGCTATGTTCAAAAATCTGAAACTAGAGCTCAAAATTTTGAAAAAAAATATTAAAAACAGGGGGGTTGGCCTATTCCATGGCTTCTAGAGAAAAATAATGAGGGGTGTCACGGGGTATGACTATATAGGTCTTGTAGAGAAGAAAGAGGCGCATCTTTTGCGCAAGGTATCGAAGGTCGCTATGTTCAAAAATCTGAAACTAGAGCTCAAAATTTTGAAAAACAAATGTTAAAAACAGGGGGGTTGGTCTATTCCATGGCTTCTAGAGAAAAATAATGAGGGGTGTCCCCGGGGTATGACTATATAGGTCTTGTAGAGGAGAAACAGGCGCATCTTTTAAGCAAGGTATCGAATGGCGCTATGTTCAAAAATCTGAAACTACAGCTCAAAATTAAAAAATAAAATTGTTAAAAACAGGGGGGTTGGTCTATTCCATGGCTTCTAGAGAAAAATGATGGGTGGTGTCACTGGTATGACTATATAGGTCTTGTAGAAGAGAAACAGGCGCATCTTTTGCGCAAGGTATCGAAGGCCGCTATGTTCAAAAATCTGAAACTAGAGCTCAAAGTTTTGAAAAAGAAATGTTAAAAACAGGGGGATTGGCCTATTCCATGGCTTCTAGAGAAAAATAATGCAGGGTGTCACGGGATATGACTATATAGGTCTTGTAGAGGAGAAACATGCGCATCTTTTGCGCAAGGCATCGAATAGCGCCATGTTCAAAAATCTGAAACTAGAGCTCAAAATTTGAAAAAAAAATTGTTAATAAAATGCTTCGCTGGGGCGCAGCTTGATACGACCGCAGAGGTCGAATCCTGAACAGTTGGGGCAAGTATGGACACAACATTCAAGCTTGATACAGCTCTGAATTTGGATTGTTATTAAATATTTGACACAGCATAGGTTTCTGACACAGAAAGAATGTGGTCTAAGAACTTGAATGTTTTTTAATTTGCCTATTATGGTCCAATGTCCAAAATCAAAATACATGGTTAGATTCAGCATATCAAAGAACCCCATATATTCAATTTTTGTTAAAATCAAACAAAGTTTAATTTTGGACCCCAACTTGGACAAACTTGAAAACTGGGCCCATAATCAAAAATCTAAACACATGTTTAGATTCAGCATATCAAAGAACCCTAAGAATTCAATTTTTGCTAAAATCAAACTAAGTTTAATTTTGGACTCTTTGGACCTCAATGAAGACCAATTTAAAAAACAGGACCCAAATTAAAAATCTAAAAACATGGTTAGATTTGGCATAGTAAAGAACCCCAATAATTCAATTTCTGATGAAATCAAACAAAGTTTAATTTTGGACCCTTTTGACCTCAATATGAACCAATTTTATAGCGGGGCCTACAAATAAAAAATCTAAATACATGGTTAGATTCAGCATATCAATGAACCTCATTTATTCAATTTTTGTTGAAATCAAACAAAGTTTAATTTTGGACCCCAATTTGGACCAACTTGAAAACTGGGCCCATAATAAAAAATCTAAATACATGTTTAGATTCAGCATATCAAAGAACCCCATATATTCAATTTTTGTTGAAATCAAACAAAGTTTAAATACTGGACCCTATCTTGGACCAACTTGAAAACTGGGCCCATAATCAAAAATCTAAACACATGTTTAGATTCAGCATATCAAAGAACCCTAAAAATTCAATTTTTGCTAAAATCAAACTAAGTTTAATTTTGGACCCTTTGGACCTTAATGTAGACCAATTTAAAAAACAGGACCCAAAATTAAAAATCTAAATACACGGTTAGATTTGGAATATCAAAGAACCCCAATAATTCAATTTCAGATGAAATCAAACAAAGTTTAATTTTGGACCCTTTTGACCTCAATATGAACCAATTTGATAAAGGGGTCCACAAATAAAAAATCTAAATACATGGTTAGATTCAGCATATCAAAGAACCCCATATATTCAATTTTTGTAGAAATCAAACAAAGTTTAATTTTGGACCCCAATTTGGACCAACTTGAAAACTGGGCCAAAAATCAAAAATCTAAATACATGTTTAGATTCAGCATATCAAAGAACCTCATATATTCAATTTTTGCTAAAATCAAACAAAGTTTAATTTTGGACCCTTTGGACCTTCATATGGATTTTTTTGTTAAAAAAAAAAGATGCAACATTTGCAGATATTTTTACTGGTCTTCCTTTATAAATATGCATTTCTTTAAACATAATTTAAAAGCAGTGTAAGGGAAGTAACCAAAACGTTGTATTTGGATTACCTCCCTTACACTGTTTTAAATTATCTTTATTGTTCATTAACCATTACTTTATACATAATTTAAAAGCAGTGTAAGGGAGATAATTTCAATGATGTATTTGATTTATCTCCCTTACACTGCTTTAAATTATGTTTTGTATTAAAGTATTTGTCCATTAACCAGGACAACCTTGTTTTTCCCCCTTTTTTGCCCCTAATTCCTAAACGGTTTGAGCCATAACCCCCCAAAGCAAATCCTAACCATCCCTTTGTGGTATGGAAACTTGTAGTATAATTTCAGAGAGATCCATACACCGTTCCACAGTTATTGTCTGGAAACTAGAAAATGCTTATTTTTGGCCCCTTTTTGGCCCCTAATTCCTTAACTGTTGGTACCATAACCCCCAAAATCAATCCCAACCTTCCTTTTGTGGTATTTAACCTTATGGTAAAATTTCAAAAAGATCCATTCACTTAAACTAAAGTTAGAGTGCGAAAACCAATGTGTCTTCGGACGACGACGCCGGACGACGACGACGACGACGCCAACGTCATACCAATATACGACCACAAAATTTTTTTGCGGTCGTATAAAAACAGGGGGTTGGTCTATTCCATGGCTTCTAGAGAAAAATAATGAGGGGTGTCACGGGGTATGACTATATAGGTCTTGTAGAGGTGAAACAGGCGCATCTTTTGCGCAAGGTATCGAAGGGCGCTATGTTCAAAAATCTGAAACTAGAGCTCAAATTGTGAAAAAAAATTGTTAAAAACAGGGGGGGTTGGCCTATTCCATGGCTTCTAGAGAAAAATAATGAGGGGTGTCACGGGGTATGACTATATAGGTCTTGTAGAGGAGAAACATGCGCATCTTTTTCGCAAGGTATCGAAGGGCGCTATGTTGAAAAATCTGAAACTAGAGCTCAAATTGTGAAAAAAAATTGTTAAAAACAGGGGGGTTGGCCTATTCCATGGCTTCTAGAGAAAAATAATGAGGGGTGTCACGGGATATGACTATATAGGTCTTGTAGAGGAGAAACATACGCATCTTTTGCGCAAGGTATGGAATAGCGCTATGTTCAAAAATCTGAAACTGGAGCTCAAAATTTGAAAAAATAAATTGTTAAAAACAGGGGGTTGGCCTATTCCATGGCTTCTACAGAAAAATAATGAGGGGTGTCAAGGGGTATGACTATATAGGTCTTGTAGAGGAGAAACAGGCGCATCTTTTGCGCAAGGTATCGAAGGGCGCTATGTTGAAAAATCTGAAACTAGAGCTCTAAATTAAAAAAAAAAATTGTTAAAAACAGGGGGGTTGGTCTATTCCATGGCTTCTAGAGAAAAATAATGGGGTGTGTCACGGGGTATGACTATATAGGTCTTATAGAGGAGAAACAGGCGCATCTTTTGCGCAAGGTATCGAAGGGCGCTATGTTCAAAAATCTGAAACTAGAGCTCTAAATTTTGAAAAAAAATATTAAAAACAGGGGGATTGGCATATTCCATGGCTTCTAGAGAAAAATAATGAGGGGTGTCACGGGGTATGACTATATAGGTCTTGTAGAGGAGAATCAGGCGCATCTTTTGCGCTAGGTATCGAAGGTCGCTACGTTCAAAAATCTGAAACTGGAGCTAAAAATTTTGAAAAACAAATGTTAGCAACAGGGGGGTTGACCTATTCCATGGCTTCTAGAGAAAAATAATGAGGGGTGTCACGGGGTATGACTATATAGGTCTTGTAGAGGTGAAACAGGCGCATCTTTTGCGCAAGGTATCGAAGGGCGCTATGTTCAAAAATCTGAAACTAGAGCTCAAATTGTGAAAAAAAATTTGTTAAAAACAGGGGGGGTTGGCCTATTCCATGGCTTCTAGAGAAAAATAATGAGGGGTGTCACGGGGTATGACTATATAGGTCTTGTAGAGGAGAAACATGCGCATCTTTTTCGCAAGGTATCGAAGGGCGCTATGTTGAAAAATCTGAAACAAGAGCTCAAATTGTGAAAAGAAATTGTTAAAAACAGGGGGGTTGGCCTATTCCATGGCTTCTAGAGAAAAATAATGAGGGGTGTCACGGGATATGACTATATAGGTCTTGTAGAGAGAAACATACGCATCTTTTGCGCAAGGTATCGAATAGCGCTATGTTCAAAAATCTGAAACTAGAGCTCAAAATTTGAAAAAATAAATTGTTAAAAACAGGGGGTTGGCCTATTCCATGGCTTCTAGAGAAAAATAATGAGGGGTGTCACGGGGTATGACTATATAGGTCTTGTAGAGGAGAAACAGGCGCATCTTTTGCGCAAGGTATCGAAGGGCGCTAAGTTGAAAAATCTGAAACTAGAGCTCAAAATTTAAACAAAAAATTGTTAAAAACAGGGGGGTTGGTCTATTCCATGGCTTCTACAGAAAAATAATGAGGGGTGTCAAGGGGTATGACTATATAGGTCTTGTAGAGTAGAAACATACGCATCTTTTGCGCAAGGTATCGAATAGCGCTATGTTCAAAAATCTGAAACTAGAGCTCAAAATTTGAAAAAATAAATTGTTAAAAACAGGGGGTTGGCCTATTCCATGGCTTCTAGAGAAAAATAATGAGGGGTGTCAAGGGGTATGACTATATAGGTCTTGTAGAGGAGAAACAGGCGCATCTTTTGCGCAAGGTATCGAAGGGCGCTATGTTCAAAAATCTGAAACTAGAGCTCTAAATTTTGAAAAAAAATGTTAAAAACAGGGGGGTTGGCCTATTCCATGGCTTCTAGAGAAAAATAATGAGGGGTGTCACGGGGTATGACTATATAGGTCTTGTAGAGGAGAAACAGGCGCATCTTTTGCGCAAGGTATCGAAGGGCGCTATGTTCAAAAATCTGAAACTAGAGCTCAAAATTAAAAAAAAAATTGCTAAAAACAGGGGGGTTGGTCTATTCCATGGCTTCTAGAGAAAAATAATGAGGGGTGTCAAGGGGTATGACTATATAGGTCTTGTAGAGGAGAAACAGGCACATCTTTTGCGCAAGGTATCGAAGGGCTCTATGTTCAAAAAACTGAAACTAGAGCTCAAAATTTAAAAAAAAAATTGTTAAAAACAAGGGGGATTGGTTTATTCCATGGCGTCTAGAGAAAAATAATGGGGTGTGTCACGGGGTATGACTATATAGGTCTTATAGAGGAGAAACAGGCGCATCTTTTGCGCAAGGTATCGAAGGGCGCTATGTTCAAAAATCTGAAACTAGAGCTCAAAATTAAAAAAAAAATTGTTAAAAACAGGGGGTTGGCCTATTCCATGGCTTCTAGAGAAAAATAATGAGGGGTGTCACGGGGTATGACTATATAGGTCTTGTAGAGGAGAAACAGGCGCATCTTTTGCGCAAGGTATTGAAGGGGGATATGTTCAAAAATCTGAAACGAGAGCTCAAAATTTGAAAAATATTGTTAAAAACAGGGGGGTTGGCCTATTCCATGGCTTCTAGAGAAAAATAATAAGGGTCGTCACGGGGTATGACTATATAGGTCTTGTAGAGGAGAAACAGGCGCATCTTTTACGCAAGGTATCGAAGGGCGCTATGTTCAAAAATCTGAAACTAGAGCTCAAAATTTGAAAAAAAATGTTAAAACAGGGGGGTTGGCCTATTCCATGGCTTCTAGAGAAAAATAATGAGGGGTGTCACGGGTTATGACTATATAGGTCTTGTAGAGGAGAAACAGGCGCATCTTTTGCGCAAGGTATCGAAGGTCGCTATGTTAAAAAATCTGAAACTAGGGCTCAAATTTTAAAAAAAAAAAGGAAAAAACAGAGGGGGTTGGCCTATTGGTGTAATACCTCCATTGATTTTCTTTTTTTTTTTTTTTAAATTTGCAGTTTTCAAAAAAATGTGGAGAATTTATCTTTGTTTCAAATTAAAAAAATTAACATGACATTTCATTGCATATAAGAAAATAACTATCACTGTCAGTTAACCAATCAAATTTGCCCCTTATTTAACCTGTGTACAAGCTTTAGTAACCAATCAACCTCAAGTTTCCAAAATATTCTATACAAACCCCAAATAAAACAATAATGATTCTTTGAAATACCCAAGATACATGTATATGTTTATGACCTTACTGCAATAAAATGATGGATTAATTACCTACAACTGTCAAATTCAAGGGAATATTTTTTTCGACCTATTTTTGTATGCAACCGGATGTGACGTGCCATGATTTGGTGGTATTACACCTGAAGAAGACATTTTTATTTAATAAACTGAAAGGGATTTTTTCCTTTGTAATACTGTTTTTTTTCAAGCATTCCTGTCATGCTTTGTCATAATCAGTTCAATAGTTTGAGAAAAATCTAGTATAATAATACGACGACATCTTCAGCGATTCGTGCAAAATTTCTTCGAAAAATCCAAACCAAGCCGCATCATGATAGAATATAGTGTGGACCAATAATGATTAAATATTTATCTCATCTGTTTACAAACAGTTGAATTTGATACAAAAGATGACTTTAGGATGATAAATACCACTAATGGATCCTTTGTCTTCTTTATAAGGTCTCTTTTGGTCCATTTATACATGTCATTTCCTTAAAATTTCAACTTTCAGGCCAATAAATAAAAATAATGAAGTAACTTTCACTCATTTATGATAGAAATGTTATAATAAATTACATTGAGTAATTGAAGTATTCAAGCAGAATGAACAATCCATATAAAAGTTTACTGGAGGTTTTAATAAGTCCTTACGTAAAACTTAAATTTACGCTGCGTTCCAGAGAGGGACATAAAAAGCTTCTCTTTTAGTGAATAATTTGTTGGTACTGCTTTAAAAAATAATCACATTTACTTATAACTATATATTTATTAAAATATTTCTGAGAGAAAACTTTCTAATATAACAGAATATAAGAAAAAAGGAGAAAAAGCTCCCCAAAACACCGTGAAGTATGGCTTGTTCTGTTAACTGATAATCATGGTAGAGTCCAATTTCAAGGAAATATTCTCATAAAATATGTTTTGGAGACTTAATCCACTCAGAACATTTCATTATTTGTAATATTTCACTTGAATAGCAAGAAATATTAACACATGAGAGCACTCACAAGGTCAAAGGTGCATATACAGCACCCCATATTAGGTGTAATACCACCATTGATTTTCCCCTATTAGTCTTTTTAAAATTTGCACTTTTCAAAAAATTGTGCAGAATTTATCTTTGTTTCAAATTAAAAAAATACTTGGCATGAGTAAAGTTTTATCCTGTCCAGTACTGTAGAAAAAAATTCACATAAAATTTCATTGCATATAAGAAAATAACCATAACTGTCAGTTAACCAATCAAATTTCCCCCCTTATATAACCTGTGTACAAGCTTTAGTAACCATGCAACCTCAAGTTTCCAAAATATTCTACAGAAACCCAAAATAAAAAAAAAATGATGCTTTGAAATACCCAAGATACATGTATATGTTTATGACCCAGAAATGTTTTACTGCGATAAAATGATGGATTAATTACCTACAACTGTCAAATTCAAGGGAATATTTTTTCGACCTATTTTCGTATGCAACCGGATGTGACGTACCATGCATTAATTGGTGGTATTACACCTATTCAATGGCTTCTAGAGAAAAAAATCATGTGAAGTTTCACGGGGTATAGCTATATAGGTGTTGTAGAGGAGAAACAGGCGCATGGTTTGCGGAAGGTTTCGAGTTGCGCTTTGTCCAAAAACTGAAATTAGGGCTCGGAATTTCAAAAAAAATTGGGAAAAACAACTGGAATTTGCCTATTCCATAGCCTCTGGAAAAAATAATGAGGGATGTCGCGGGATAAGACTATAAAGGTCTTGTAGAGGGCACACAGGCGCATAGTTTGCGCAAAGCTTCAAGAGGTGCTAAGTTTAATTATGTCGAAATGAACTAAAATTTAGTGAGGAACAAAGCCAACTCAAATGTCAGACAAGAACGTGAAAATCGTGAAAAAGACATATCAGAGTCAGCAAAGAAGAATTTCTTGTCATATGAAGTCGAAATGAAAATCCAAATTCCCCCATCCGAATTATATGATGAAAGAGATTGTAAAATGTGTTATGTAAGTACTGATAAAGAGAAGGCTGAACACTGGCTGATTTTTTTTCAAGGGTATTTCGAAAAAGAAAACGATGAAGATGAAAGAACTTTAGTGCGAAGGGCAGCTGGTATACAACCTAAAAATCTATATACTATTACAGACTTAATAGACAGTCTACTTTGTATTATTTTCAAAAGTCTGTTTATATCAGAGGTTTTGTACCAGAATAAAACAAAATCGGCAAAGAGTTCTGAGTTGTTAAAAAGATATGATAGTAAAACTACATACAGACCAGTTAACTTTATCATGGACAATCCAAGCGCCACATTCTTAAGGACGGTATAAGTACCCCCGTCCACGTGCGTGCATTGTCTGATATAAATAAATGTTTACTAGGCAAAAATAGAAACGTTACCCTGGTTTTTAATTAAAAGAAATTACATATATTAATTTATAATATTTTCAAGATTAAAACTAGTGACCTGAATGATTTATCTATCATTTACTAATTTGTTAAAAATTCGAAGACGACGTTACGTCATTTTCTGATTTTAAACAAATAAGCATTTTTTCAAACATTTACCTGTATCAAGATGGAATTGAGTTGTCCTTTTGGTCATTAAATGTGTCGAGCACTATTGTTAACAAAAGGTCGCATTAAAAAATTGAAAAAGTTACACGTAAGTCAATGCCACGTCTACGTCATAATGAGAGAGAACGAGCTATTGTGTTGTTGGCAGCAAAAATGACTCTAATACAGGTTGCAAATCATCCCAATGTCTCTAGAATGAATATTGAAAGGCTTAAGACTCGTCTTAGAGATACTGGCACGACAAATAATCGTCCCCGAGGTTGCAGGCAACGTGAAACGAAGTTACGTCAAGACAGTCACATCCGCATTATTCATCTCCGGAATCGATTTGTAAACTTGTCACAAACAGCACGACAAACTCATGGAAGAAACAAAAACAGGCTTTATTCCCAAACAGTTTGTAACCGACTGCATCAAGTTTGCCTAAGAGCTCATCGTCCGTTGAAGGGACCTATCCTTACGCAGCGTCACAGGATGTTGCGACTTGAATGGACTCGGGTACGGATTCGATGGAATAGGCTAACATGGAGACAAGTCCTTTTTACCGATGAATAGAAATTCAACTTGACATTTAGCGACGGCAAAGCCAGAGTCTACCGGAGGTGCAATGCATGATTTTCTGATGCGTGCGTACAGGAAACGGATCTGTTTGAGGGTGGCGGAATTATTGTATGGGACGGAATAACCTACCAGGAACGCACCGATCTGACAATTATTGAAGGTAACCTAAATGAAAAAAGGTATAGGAACGAAATTCTGGCTCCACTCGTTCTCCCGTTTCTCCGAAGGCATCGTTTTGACCACGTTTTTCAGCAGGACAACGCCCGTTGTCACGTGGCACACATTTCAATGATTTTATGGAGAATAATCACATTCGTGTGTTGCCGTGGCCAGCAATGTCTCCAGATTATCGCCAATGGAACATTTTTGGGACGAACTTGGACGACCCATCAGAAAGAGCCAAAATCCATTGGAAACGCTCGCCAATCTACGAATAGCATTTTTCAGGGAATGGAACAACACAAAGGGCCATTGATAAAGAGGGATGATCATGGGTAGTTCCTTCAAATACTGGAACATGAACGACAACCATATCACCATTCTGAAAGCTCCGAGGGCCAGTTCGGATGCTGTAATGAAATGGTGGGTTATTAAAAAAGTACAAGACAGCACGTATGAAACCTAATGCGACAAGATTTAAACGGATATAAAATGAATGAAGATAGAATATGATGCAGCAATCAAAGAACGTGAGAAAAAATAATGGACAAGCTGGACAAGTGTGACCACAAACTCAAACATGCAGAACCATTTGATTAGTTAACTTCACGAAAATAAAATGGCAGAGGACAAGGTGATGAATGTATGGTATGCAAAGAAATAGTAAGAACTAGAAAGAGGGTAATACGTTGCATCATAATCATACCTCTCGT